AGGTAAGCCAAACACCTGGTGAATCAGACCCAGGCAGATTTGCTCATCACTAGATGCAGGAAGAGTGAGGTATTCTAAAGGTGTCCATACACGGTACGGTTATCGTACGAGCATCACGGGAAATCCCCCGATCGTACGATAATCGCAAAGTGTATGGAAGGCGTGTGACCGTTTCTACTGTAGGGTCGCACGTCTTCCATCGAACAAGCAGGCTGGAAAACCCACCGGGAATCGTACAATTCTCGGCGGGTTAGTGGCCTGCTTGTTCGACAACTCCTGAACGGGCCGGTGTGCGCACGTCACACTGCCCGTTCAGCATTGCAGTCATCGGAAGCCCGCCCCTCAGGGGGGCGGGCTTGAGATGATCGCAAGTACGATCTGCCTGTCCAAGATGGGCAGATAGTACTTTTTTTTATTACTTTACAACCCTCGCAAGACAAAAGTATCTATTCTCTTGTCATATTGAGCAGGACTTTTAGCCTCTGAGTGATACCGCAGATTCTTGTCAATAGTTGTATACTGTACAGTGTTGTAAGTATTACGAAAAATAATGTATTCTATGTTCAATAAAGCTTCAAACTATGAGTTTAAACATTTCTTTGTATTTTTTGTAAAACCTTCATGGAAAAATAAACACTAATGTAATAATCTTGTTTTATTAACAGGTCCATTTGATTTCTCCAGAACTTGTCCCCAGACCATGCTGCGCACCTACAAAATTAAATGCCATATCTGTGCTATACTTTGATGACAGCTCCAATGTTATTTTAAAAAAGTATAGAAATATGGTTGTCAGGTCATGTGGATGTCATTAAAAGTAGATATGTGTTTAAATATAGAAACACAAGTTACATCATTACATGCAATGAACTGGTTAGGAAATAAAACACATTTCAATTACACATCTCAATATACATTTATATGTACAGTGTTATGTATATATTAGAATTTTGTAATTTATTTTTTCAGTAATAAGAAAATCACCCTTGTGACAGAATTCCTTACAGACACATCAATTTCATTATTCAATTTTTTATATAAATAATTTTAGAACAACCATTTGTATTTACATGAACACATAGAAAACCTTGTAATTATTTAATAACTGCAAAATATGGTACATTTACCACGCCCATGCAACTGTTTATGTGGTACTGTATTTATTTAGAAAATGCAATATAATGTTAAAGTAGATCTCCAGGCATGTTTTATTTTGTATTTGTAAACAATAGATACATCTCTTGAAGTATGCTCTATGGCCTGATCACTGCGGTGTCTTTTGATGTTTTTATTTATATGAGATTGTACATCTTTACCTCTTGTTGCTGCATGTATGAGAACTGCACCTCTCATATGCAGAGGGGATATTGTTGTATTGTAGTGTGTATGCTCTCCTTGTCCATTCACAGAAAGCTGTGTAATAAACCAGGGGTGTGGAGGGCATATGAATGGCAATATCTCTTCCATGTACGAGAGCTCTCATGTGCACAGCTGGAAGTTCATATGTTAATAAAAATATAAGAACATAAATATATACAGTACTGTGCAAAAGTTTTAGGTAGGTGTGAAAAAATGCTGTGAAGTAAGAATGCTTTAAGAAATAAAAGTGTTAATAGTTTATCAATTAACAAAATGAAAAGTAAATGAGCAGAAGAGAAATCCAAATCAAACCAATATTTGGTGTGACCACCCTTTGCCTTCAAAACAGCATCAGTTCTTCTAGGTACGCTTGCACACAGTTTTTGAAGGAACTCGGCAGGTAGGTTGTTCCAAACATCTTGGAGAACTAACCACCGATCTGTGGATGTAGGCTACCTCAAATCCTTCTGTCTCTTCATGTAATCCCAGGCAGACTCGATAATGTCGAGATCAGGGCTCTGTGGGTTCCAAATCATCACTTCCAGGACTTCTTGTTCTTCTTTATGTTAAAATAGTTCTTAATACCTTCCTCATAGGTGGGGACTCTAATCTGACGATCTACCCAAGCATCGATCGCTCTAATGTCTAAGCTCCCACTTCTGGTACATCCAAAGCTTTCCGCACACTGCCATCCCAGCATGCCCTAGTGGATTGTTGGCATGAAGTTAACCCGTCATCTAGGGAATTTACCTTTTACTCGAACCCACATAATTCTTTCTCAAGAATAGACCACTTTTTCACTTCTAATGCCACGTTGCCATCGGTAAACGCAGCGTCCATCCAGCCATTCTCATGGTCAGATCACCATGGCGTAATTATCCATCTGTCCTCTTTCTGGTCGGACGCAGTGGACCGTACATGGTCTTTAAACGATTCTCTATTAACTGATGATAGTATGCGGGCAACCCTCCAAAAGGCCCTCACAGATTACAAAGCCTTCAACAACACTCCAGACAATTCTCCCATGACATTGTGGGAAGCACACAAGGCTGTCCTCAGGGGCGAATGCATCCGCATCTCATCCTCCCACAAAAAGTTACCGCAAGCCCGATTGAAAACACTGGAAGATAAATACACAAAACAAACCCAGATGTGTATGGCCCACCCCACTACGCAAAACAAATCGCTACTAGACACTGCTAGAAGGGAACTTAATTTACTAGCCAATGTAGCTGAAAAAGTTTACGTAGGACCCAACAAAAATTTTATCTCCACGGCAATAAACAAGACTCATTACTTGCCCATAGGCTGAGAAAGTTAGACACACACCAAAAACCCTTATGTCTGTGACTGTCAGATGGCACAGTATCCAGCAACCCCCGTAAAATAGTTCTAGAGTTCACACAGCACCTCTCATCTCTTTACGATTCACAAGAAACCCTAGATAACAACCTGATGTCCCAGACACTGGCGAATTTGACTTTACCAACCCTTACGGTTCCCCAGCGTGCCTCTCTAGACCTACCAGTTACTAATTTTGAGGTCGAGGTGGCCATAAAATCTCTTAAGCCCAATAAAAGACTGGCACCTGACGGCTTCACAGCAACTTACTATAAAAAATTTGTTGATTTGTTGGCCCCACTTCTCACTGATGCCCTCAACACCCTTCAAGTTGTTGGCAGATTTAGACAAGAATCCCTAGGTGACAACTGTATGTATGATCCCAAAATCAAACTGAGATGATACCAATTGGTCGAACTTCATTGAACATTGACATTAAAATCCTAGCTAAAATTCTCGCAACCAGACTGAATAGAATAATAGGGGACCTAGTTCACAAAGATCAAGTAGGCTTTATGTCGCGCCGCCAAGCTGGAGAAAATGTTCGCAGAACTTGCCTCTTGATAGATCTAATTAGAAAACTGAATATTCCGTCAATACTTTTATCATTGGATATGCACAAGGCGTTTGATTCTCTGTCCTGGTCTTACCTATTTGACATTCTAGGCCGCTGGGGATTCGGAAACGAATTCTGCACTTGGATTTCAACACTTTACTCGAATCCCATGGCATCAGTGAAATATGCGGCCTACCAATCCACACCTTTCCAAATTCATAGGGGAACATGTCAGGGTTGCCCTTTGTCCCCTCTCCTTTTTGCCCTTGCAATTGAACCCCTAGCTGTACTTATTCGGGCTCACCCCGACATCTCGGGCATCCCCGTGGTGGGCCAACAGCATAAACTTTGCCTCTTTGCTGATGACATTTTACTTTACATCTCCAAGCCGCACATATCTCTCCCAAACCTAATGCAGGTACTAGCCACATTTAAGACCCTCTCAGGATTGTCCATAAACCCCACTAAATCCAAAATTCTTAATATTTCCTTGCCGACCCATCTCATACCGCCATTACAGTCGAAATTCCCCTTCAAGTGGGAAACAAACTCCCTCTCCTACCTTGGAATAAATATTGCACCATCCTCTCTCTCTCTCTACGCAGTAAATTATCCAGAGTTGCTCACTAAGTTAACTAATACTTTAAAAATATGTAGTTCATATCCCCTCTCATGGTTGGGAAAAATAAAAATAACCCTTCTCCCAAAACTTCTGTACCCCTTCCGAGTCCTTTCAGTCCCTATCTCTTCCCATATCTTGAGGGTGTTACAAAATAAGATCTTCAAGTTCATATGGTCTAACACGAAATCTCGCATTTCCAGGTCAATTATGTATCAAAGTAGGTCTTCAGGTGGTCTAGAGTCCCGAACCTCCAAAAATACTATCAGGCTGCACAAATTGCCGCCCTTTCAAAATATCATGCAAGGGAGGAGACGCCCTTGTGGGTCTCCCTTGAAGCTATGGACTGCGATCCTATGGCCATCGATAACCTCCTGTGGATACGACCTAGCAACAGATCTTTCGTCAACAACCCGTCACTCCCTCAAGATATGGGACTCTGTAAAATACTCCAGTGGCCTCATCTCCCCACACCTTCCCCTAATGTCCATTCTTCAAAACCCTTCTTTCCTTCCGGGCCTTGAATCTTCCTTTCAAGTGGGGCAGCCAAACAATTAACGCTCCTTCATAAACTCACAAGCGGTGATTAAATCATCCCCTACCCTGTCCTAGAGTCTAAACACAACTTGCCCCCCTACAAAATATTTAGATATCTCCAAATAAAACACTTTATTCAATCGCAAATAAAATTCCTGATAACCTCACCGCGGATGACACCCTTTGAAAGAACCTGTAACCTTGACCCACATACACCGGGTTTGATTTCACAATTGTACTCCTCCCTACTAACTGGAACTGGTCCACCCCAGCACGCCTATATGGACCCCCGGCATACAGACCTAAACTTTACGCTCCACGATGACACTTGGTCTCAAATATGGGATAGCACCAAGTCATGCTCCAAAACTGCATTGACACTGGAGGCCAATTACAAGGTGCTCTTTCGGTGGTACAGAACGCCTGCTCAATTGGCTCATTTTGCGCCAACTTATGAGGGCCTCTGCACCAGGGGCTGCTGTGAAAGCGGTACATACTTTCATATGTGGTGGACGTGCCCAGTAGTCGCTGCATTATTTCTGTACTCCTGAACAGACATATTTCACCTATACCTCAAGAAGCTCTGATTAACGTCATTAAAGACCAATTGGCTCCACTGCTTTACAATTTAAATTGATGCTGCAAGTACTATCAGCAGCCAAATGTACAATCACTAGAGCTTGGATGTCGGACTCCCTATCTATCGCAGATGTTAAAAATAAAATTCACTGGACATTCTATAATGAAAAGCTCTCAGCCCTTTTACAAGATAGTATGCCCAAATGTGAATTAATCTGGAACCCATGGGTTACACACTTTCTCCCCCCGTCTTTTGATCGTTCATTAATAACCCTCTGATGAAAGGTCTCCTCATACCCATTTATATCTACTAAAGGTTACACTTGATTAATCGGAAGATAGCGCTCTCCCTACCCTCACCCTTCCCTCTAACTTCCCAACATCTCTTTCCCCTCTCTGTCTTTTTCTCTCCTACTCACCTGTTGCTTCCTTAGGTTTTCTCGGAATGCCAGTAAGTTCGCCGGACAGACTTCTAGGGAAGTTTCCCTCTCATGTTAGACTAATACATGGCCAACTATCTAGTTCACTGATCCATGATTGTTGGTTTTGCCACGTTGTCATGTGATACTCATGCCACTAACATGCTTTTCTGTACATTTCTGTACCAATGTTACATTCTTGTTTTGAAAATGGCAAAAAACAATAAAATACTAGTAACATATAAAATACTAAAGTACATGCATTACTGTTGCTCTCCAGCCCTTCGGCAAACAAACTGCCTCCTGCTTTAGTCAAATATTTAACATTTTGACTCATCAGTCCAGAGCACCTGCTGCCATTTTTCTGCACCCCAGTTCCTATGTTTTCATGCATAGTTGAGTAGCTTAGCCTTCTTTCCATGTCGGAGGTATAGCTTTTTGGCCACACTTCTTCCATGAAGACCACTTCTGGCACTGAACAGTAGATGGGTGTTTCCACCAGTTCAGTGCTGATGGCACTGCTGGACAACATACGATGTCAAGGGGAAGTAAGCATGATATGTCCTTCATCTGCTCCATTAAGTTTCCTTGGCCAACTACTG